CCACAGGTGCCCAGCTGCTTCATAAGTGTTCCGGAAGATCTTAAAATGAGCCAAATACTTTACACTGACCCAACAGTTTTCCTCAGGTGAGTTTCAGACACTCCTCAGGGTGAAAGGGAGAAAAAAGCTGAGTTGGGGAACTAGGAATATTCTGAAGTGCTAATGTGTCAGAGAAACTATTTATGGGGAGATGAATTGTGCTTTTCTTTTATTAAGGAGATGCCACAGACAGGCTCTGTCCGGACAACAGAGGACAACTAGTGGAGGTAATTGGAATAGGTGGGGAGATGGCCAACAGACAACTCACACACAAGAGGAGTGAATGCTGAATGCGATTTATTGCAGAGGATAACAAGCTTTTATAGAAAAAGTCTCCATGAGAAAGGGCAAAAGGTTACACAATCTTGCTGCAAGGCTTCATTCTTGGGTGGTCACCTGATCTTGTTTCTTGCATGATGAGCTATGATGACAGACACTTGTTTTCGGCTTTACCTCTATTTTTAAGAAACACGATTGGTTTTGAGATGTTTATCACCTATTAGCCATTATCCAGAGCATATGGGCAAGGTGCTGGACAGAAAGGCATGAACTCTAGTACTTTATTGTTACTTTTGTTTAGTTTTGTACTTTATGCGTTTCAAATCTTTTGGAAGCAATTGTAGTTCTTTGTCATTCTTTAGAGGGTCCCCAATTTGTGGCCAAAAATCATGATATTCAGTATACTTAGTTAAATCTGGCCATATATCTAATTCAAGCTCATAGTGTCTTCTCTGTAACCCTTTCATTTACTCTTCTCCATAGATGCCTTAACTGTCTCATAAGATCTTTCTTGTTCCTTTTTTGATAGTAAGCACCAAGGAGGCCTAGATCTAGCAAGTCTCTCAGTAAATGCAAGAGAGTAATAGGAAGTTCTTTCTCCTAAGTAGTTTTCCCAACGGTTGCCATCCTTATCATACACACCTGTAAAATGTTATGGATCTGGGGGAAGTCTCTGGGGTCCTCTAGATAATGGAGGATCCCACCATTTTCCTCTGACCCATTGCCACCTTCCATCTACCAACCTTTTAGGAATCTTATTTAGCTTTTGGTCTAAATATCCCTCTACATCTTTCTTATCTACAGGATATCTGTATGAGTCTATTGTATATGCTCCAGGATTAAAGGGAAGTCTCCAATAGCCATACACTCTTTCTGCTCTAGCCATGCCTACAGCTTCTTGTACATTTCTTACAAACAATTCCTTCTGCTGAAGTGACGTCATGAAACCTCCAATACTTTTATATTTACTTATGACTTGTCTAATAGCCTCCATAAGTGGGGCGTTCAAGGTAGCACTTAACTCTGGTGAGTTAGTCATATTCTCAGGACAATCACCAGATGTTGGAGTTGTCAACACTTCCAAGAAAGAGCCCTGAATAAGGGAAAGTTGAGCATGAGTAAGTAGAACAAGCAACAGGAGCAGTAAAATATTAATAGGCACTCCTATACAGTGAAAAAAAGAAAAACAGGAACACATCTTTCCCAGGGGCTTGCCAGCCTTTTTAGGAGGTAGGCCTCTTTGAAGCCCCATTCTCTGAGGTAGACTTCTGTGAAGTCCCATTCTCAGAGGTAGGCTTCTGGAAGCCCATTCTCTGAAGTAGACTTTTGTGAAATCCCACTCTCAGAGGTAGGCTTCTGCTTAGTAGAGCCAATGACTGTGGAAAAGATCTGCCAAAATGAATGGTGATATGGAGGGTTATGGATGGATTCAAGTGACTGGTTGAATTTGTACTGATATATATGTATATTTACATACATAGATATGCACACACACACACACACAATGTAAGCACACCGGTGACCTGCTGATGTATGCCTTCCCTTGTAATTTGTCGCTCAAAGCCAAGAGGTTCACATTCATGAACCATTGGGACATTCTCAAGTATGTCTCTAAAGTCCTCATAAGCTGTTGGTATGGAGACATGTTCATGTGGGGCTTCAGAATGCTGCTTTTACACATGGGATTGTGGAATGTTAAGTGTATATTATGTTTTGTATTTTTTAGCTCCAGGACTGGGACTCAAAGCCAGTACATGATACTTTTGCTCACTTGCTAATGCTCTAACAACTAAGCCATACCCCTACCCCTTAAAGTATGTATTTTGTCTATTCTATTGTGAAAGACTATATGAATATATGACAAATTCTACCAGCTCTATAAAAATTATAGAACTGTTCATTTCCGGGGGGGGCAGGAAGAGACTGATATTATAGAAGGTATTGTAGGTTTACAAAAAAATTTGAAAATTGCTTTCAACATAAAATCTGAATGGACTCTATGTCACTTCTACTGAATTTCAACGCATAAAATAAGTATTTACTAAATCAACTTTATTACTCATCTCAAATATTTGTCATTTCGAAATGTTACAAAATTCCATTAAATCACTCAATTTCCTTATAGATTCTATGAAACGACTTATTTTCCTAATTTATAACATTTCAGTTTTACTTTCGTAAGTTTTGTAAACACCTTTGAAGAAAGTAGACTGCTTCCCAATGATAGGACTCATGATACTAAATACAACAACCTCAAAATTAGAGATGTGGCACAAAGGGTAGAGTGCTAAGCTTGAGAATAAAAGCCAAAGGGAAGTAAAGGGCTATGAGTTCAAATGAAACTAACAGCAAAATAAAAGGAAAAAGGTAAATATCATCCTAGACTTTCATGGAACAGGAAATTAGACATTATCATCCTCTTGTAGATCTCCCAATAGAGAATGTTAGAAATGGAACTTGAGTAATTTTAGAAGATGGACATTCAGGGAAGAATGACTGAGAGTTTACTTAGAACTTTTTTGAAAATTTTTCTACATGTTTTACATTGCCATGATTTCTCTTGTGTGTGTGTGTGTGTGTGTTCAATGATGAACCCTGAGCTGTGCCTTCTGGTTGAAGAACTCCACATTTGCTACCTTGACAAGGTTTGTATCCTGTGTGGGTTCTCTATTGCAAACTGACTTCTCTTCCAGATGAAAGACTTTCCCTACTTGTTACATTCTAGAGACTTCTCATTTGGGTGAATTTTCTTATATGCTAGGCTGTGGCCTCCTGTGGACGGTTCTTTCCACATTTGTTGCATTCATAAGGCTTCTCTCCTGTGTTTTGCTCTCTGATGAAAAATAAGGGTTGACTTCTGTGTGAAACTCTTTCCATAGCTGTTACATTCCTAAAGTTTTCCTCCTGTGTGTTCTCCAATGGACAGTAAGGTTTCCCCTGTGGCTGAATGACTTTCCACACAGATTACATTCATAAGGTTTCTCTCCTGTGTGTGTTGTCAGATGGACAGTAAGGTATGTCTTCTGGCTGAAAGACTTTCCACAGCTGTTACATTCATAAGGTTTCTCTCCTGTGTGTGTTAGCTGATGGACAGTAAGCTGTGCCTTCTGAGCGAAAGACTTTCCACACAGGTTACATTCATAAGGTTTCTCTCCTGTGTGTGTTGTCTGATGGACATTAAGGGTTGTCTTCTGGGTGAAAGACTTCCCACATTTGTTACATTCATAAGGTTTCTCTCCTGTGTGTGTTCTCTGATGGACAGTAAGATATGCCTTCACGTGAAAAGATTTTCCACACTTGTTACATTCATAAAGTGTCTTTCTTGTGTGAATATTCTGATGAAAAGTAAGGTTTCCCTTCCGGGTGAAAGACTTTCCACACACGTTACATTCATAAGGTTTCTCTCCTGTGTGTGTTGTCTGATGGACAGTAAGGTGTGCCTTCTGGATGAAAGACTTTCCACACACATTACATTCATAAGGTTTCTCTCCTATGTGTATTCTGTGATGATATGTAAGTTTAGACTTCCACATGAAAGACTTTCCACACAGGTTACATTCATAAGATTTCTCACCTGTGTGTGTTCTCTCGTGAGCAGTAAGGTTTGCCTTCTGGGTGAAAGACTTCCCACACTGGATACATTCATAAGGCTTCTCTCCTGTGTGTGTTCTCTGATGGACAGTGAGGTGTGACTTCTTGCTGAAAGACTTTCCACAAAGCTTACATTCATAAGGTTTCTCTCCTGTGTGTGTTGTCTGATGGACAGTAAGGTGTGCCTTCTGGCTGAAAGACTTTCCACACACATTACATTCATAAGGTTTCTCTCCTGTGTGTGTTAGCTGATGGACAGTAAGCTGTGCCTTCTGAGTGAAAGACTTTCCACACAGGTTACATTCATAAGGTTTCTCTCCTGTGTGTGTTGTCAGATGGACAGTAAGGTGTGACTTCTGGCTGAAAGACTTTCCACACACATTACATTCATGAGGTTTCTCTCCTGTGTGTGTTAGCTGATGGACAGTAAGATATGCCTTCAAGTGAAAAGATTTTCCACATTTGTTACATTCATAAAGTGTTTTTCTTGTGTGAATTTTCTGATGAAAAGTAAGGTTTGCCTTCCGGATGAAAGACTTTCCACACACGTTACATTCATAGGGTTTCTCTCTTGTGTGTGTTGTCTGATGGACAGTAAGGTGTGCCTTCTGGCTGAAAGACTTTCCACACAGGTTACATTCATAAGGTTTCTCTCCTGTTTGTATTCTCTGATGGACAGTAAGGTGTGTCTTCCTGGTGAAAGAATGTCCACATTGGTTAGATTCTTTAACTACAGGAGATACTCCAGGACCATAAGCAGCACACATCCCATTAGACTCGCCATGGAGAAGCATGTTCCGACACTGCCTGAACTCCTCTGTCCTTATCCCTAAGGAGTTCTTATTATTCCTAATCAGCTCTGACTTAGGTTTTGATCTCAAATTAAAAGTTGTTATTAATTTCACATTTTTCTCCCCTGTGTTAGTATTCATGACTCCGACTTCAGACAGACAATCATAGGGACTCTTCTGACAGATCTTAGTCCTGTACTCCATTTCTTGGCCATCTACAATGAGATATAGAAAGACAGACAAAAACAGAAATGAGACCTCAAGATTCCTTAATGTAACAGTAGAGGCATTTCCATGCATCTTAACTGTTACGAGATTTTAAAAGATCAAAGCAGGAACTCTTTGATGCAGAATATAAGCTTTTCTCTGAAATGTATTAGTAAACAAAGTAGTACTGACATTTTACAATGGTAAATAATGTTTTTCTGTTTCAGTTTTTTTCTGTTTTTCTCAAGGAATTAATTACTCAAATGATTCAACTACACACTATTAGTTATAAGCTGAGTACTAAACATCTGCCTTTAATACCCTAGAGGTTTGGTGATAAGGGAATAGCTATTATTTTTCTTTTAATTTGTGGAAAAATTTATATATTTTGCTGCTTTGCTTCTCATCCATTAGGTGAGGAACAGAAATACTGTCTAGATTTAGGGACCATTAGGGTGTATGATACATCCCTTTGCCTTTCTGCTAAGCATGGAAGGTTCCTGAGAGTAAGGATTTATACCTCCATCTCTTCAGTTCTAACTTCTCACTAAGAATTACTTTAGGGATTGGTGGCATTTTAAAAATTGGTTTCCCTCACCCTTAGTCAAATTCTCATCAAATTTCCTTTTCTAACACTCCTGCTCCTTCACAACCATTCAAGACCAAAGATACTGCAGCTCACCACCCAGGTAGTCATCCCCTATGAACCAAAAGCTTTGCTTCTGAATCTCACTCACTTCCACCATCACCAAGAAGCAATTTTCCTCTTCACAGGACAGCAGTCCTGGCATACTCCTTATTTCCTCATACCTGCACAGCCCTTGTTTCAATGAAAATGAGACCTCATTTTCTACATTTCTCATTTCCTTTTTCTGTTTAAAAATGATTTCTACAAAGAAAAAGAAAATTGCTCATGTTAACTATACTGGGACAGCCAAATCAGTTTGTCTCCATGT